CCAGAATTCCTCAGCCAGCCTTGCTGGCTGGGGAATTCTGGGAGTTGAAGTCCACCCCTCTGAAAGGTGCCAAAGTTGAGAAACACTGCTCTCTAGTATGAAAGTGGTTTTCCATTACTTTATTCCAGGATGTTTTTAAATTTCCTATTCAAGCCTAACCCTGGTATTTTCTATTGGACTGCCTTCCAAATGCTAAGCAGGCCCAACTGTGATTAGCTTTTTTAAGATCAGCAAGTTCTTCCAGAGCCTGCCCCTAGCTAGGCACTTGTCCAAAAAATAAAGAAAAAAGGAATCCTGAAACGCATACGTGATGAGGAAGCCAAGCTGACAGATTCATTTATCGTTAACGCATTTGGCAACTCCTTGTTCAGCCTGTACAATTACAGCATAAACACGTCGCTGCTCTGAGCAACCATGCATCGGTAAGAAATGTTTACAGCTCTTGGAGATATAAGTTCAAGGTTAAAGCAAGGAATTTAGAAATATCCCTTCCATCTCTTTCATGAGCCAATACTCTACCTCAGATCCATACATGCTGCATGACTAACTACTAAATATGCATGGTTGTGAAGCCTCCAAAGAATGGATTTTGAAGAAACCACAGTGCTGGACCAGGCATCTCTCCATATTATGGGATGGCTCCGTACCAAGGCAGAAGTTCTTCTCTTTGGCCCCTCAACCTCAGTAGCCACTGGCCCTGTGAAATTCCTGCAGAGGAAGGAACATTTGTAGGTATTTGTAATCCAGAAAGGAAGGGGACATTCCATGAGACAGGCCAGCATGTAGTTTACGATTCCTTTTCTCTAGATGTATATCCATATGTGTGTAATTGTACACATCCCATCACTTGGCATCCGTAGGGCCCCAAACATCATTGTCACTATTCACATATCTAAAATAAAGCAATTAATTTCAGTATAAAAAGTTGCCTCTCTTGTGGCTGTTGAATTCAAAGTATATCTTGCTTTTTAGCCCAAACAGAATCTAAGGGTGGCTTGTCAATTATCATGCAATCCTATGCAAATTGCTTCAGAAATAAGCCCTCCCCCCCCCTTTTAAATTATTTATTTATTAAATGCGTATGCTGCTCGAACATGACTCTGGGTGGCTCACAAGAATCAAAGCAAAGAAATTAAAATAAAACCAATTCAAAGGAAGGGAAAAAAATAAAAGATGGCAAGAACGACAGATCAGATGGAATTGACAACCATTCATTCAGTGACCGTTTGAACTTACGATGGTGCGGAATGAGTGGTAGTTACAACCAATCCTCGTACTTATATCAGTTACAGCATCCCCACAGTCACGTGATTGTGATTCAGACGCTTGGTGCCTGGCTCGCAATTACAACATCACAGCGTCCCCCAGTCAAAAGTAATCGCCATTTGTGATCTTCTTTGCTGGCTTTCTACAAGTAAAGTCAACGGGAAACCCAGCAGGAGATCACAAATGGTGACCATGTGATGTTCTTGCTTTAATGATCCACGGTGATTCACTTAACAGCAGCAACCGAAGGTGCTGGAATTTCCATCGCTAAGTGGCACAGTCACACGACATTGCATTTTATGACCATGTCGCTTAGCAATGGAAATTCCAGTCCCAATTACCATTGCCATGTGAGGACTGCTGTATTACCACTAAATGTATTTTTTTCCTGATAGCATCTTTACGGGCAACTCAACCCATCAGTAGAAGTCACTCCCATGTCTATTGCCACCAAATTGTAGTCCGCATCACACAGTGCTCAGATTTAGGTTGGAACTGAAAGCAAACTTTTGGCATGGGTTCTACAACATCTCAGTTAAGCCTTATGAGGTGCGTCACATAGTTTTGATACAAGAAATGGAAGGCACATGGGGAATGATTCAAGGATCCAGTTCTTGCTAAGCTAGGGTTTACTGCAAACTGAAGAAAGCTGTTAAGAAGAAATCTAGTAATTATAGCTCAAAAAAACATTAGATTATGAAGGTGATATGAACAAAGTAGTTGTGGATTTAAATATGGATTTAAGATGGCCAAAGGATGATATGGAAAAAGAATGGAATTACAAATGGAATCAATTGAAGTTAAACGTTTAAAGGGAACATGTAAATAATGGAGAAGAGTGATCTGGAAAGATGTTTTGCTTTGGATTTGAAAAGAATGTATTGTATCAGTGAGGCCGTTCCTGGGAACAGATGAAGAGAAAAGATTGGAGATGTTTCTGGGAAAAGATAAGAATGTGATAGGGAACCAACTGGTAAAACGTTGTAAGAAAGGACTAAAGTTTAAGCTTTTTAAAAGTAAACAAAAGGTTTACAAAGTAAATTTATTGGAATGTATGATAAGACACAACTGCTAAGACGTAACTGATAATGCTTTGTTAAATGTGAATACATGTTAGACAATAGCCGCAGGATTATTCCTCTTTCAGTCCTCCTCTTCTTGACTGCATAGTTTTAGTAAATAACATTATTACTTTCATTACCCTTTATATAACGAGAGCTCTTTGCACCAAAGTCAAATTCCTTGTATGTCTAATCATACTTGGCCAGTGTTGTTGTTGTTCAGTCGTTAAGTCGTGTCCGACTCTTCGTGACCCCATGAACCATATTGCGCCAGGCCTTCCTGACCTTCA